AGTACGAAATTGCATTCAAAATATCTCATAATATTTAAGGGTAGATGTGAAAAAAATTGTTATTAAGTCCTACGTTCTAAGTACATTTTGAACTTAAATTTTTAAAGTTTTATTTTATCTATATATCTTGTATTTTTTATATCTAATGAATCATTGAAGAATAAATTTACTCTATTAAAGATTTTTCTATTATAAGTATTTGTAGATTCATCGTCAATAAACAATTAAAAACTTGGTATTTTTTCTCAACAGTAAAAAATTTTTAAATTACCTTTTTCGCTATACTTATCATATAAAAGCTCTATTAGTTTGTATACTGCCTATAAAAAACTATATATCGGAGTAAAGACTTAGTATTATATTTTTTACTTGAAAATGAAATGTTTTTATTTTCTATTGTGCTGTTAATACTCCTTCTTAGTTGTTTAAAATTTCATTTTATGATAAAACAAAACTAATTTATTTGTAATTAATTAAACTTTTACAATACATAGGTGTATATACTTAAACAAGCAAATGTTCACCACTAATGTTCTTACTTATTATATTTTCGTTGTTACATACCAGAGAGTGGAGTATCTTTAGTTATAACAACTTTTATGTCATTCGTCAAGTTTTAACACATCTCTCTATTTTTACCGACAGCTAAAATTTTTTCAAACACCTGTTAGTAACACATTTTATTTATTTAAACAAAAAAAAGCAGTTAATAAATTGAATATATAAAATAATTTTATGCTTTTTCAAATTACAAAAGATTTTTGTTAAAATTTAAACTTTTTTCTTTTTAAATTCTTGTCATTTATTTAAATTTCAAAAAAAAAAAAAAAAATACTTTATATACTTATGTTTTAACTCAAATATTAATCTTTCATACTTAAAATTACATAAATATATATCTTTATCGAAAACAGGATTGACTAATTTATTTCTATATAATTAATTAATCTATAATAAACACCAAACAGTTATAAAAATAGCTATTTTAGTTCACATAATAAACAGTTCAAATGTATATTGTATCCAATTTATCAACTTAAAATATGGGACATATGGAACCCACTGGACCTATTCATCATCAATCAGTGTAACCACCAAAATCAGGATAGTCTTTAATGGTTCAGCTACTGCTAAATCAGAGTTATCTTTAAATGATATATTAATAAAGGCACCAAAGGTGCAATCCTACATTTTTCATATATTATAACGTTTTTTTGCAACAGATGTGACTAAAATGTACCGACAGGTTTTGCTGCATGATAGTGACTGTAACTTACTGAGAATACTCTACCGTTCCCAATCTAATGAACCATTACATGAATTTAAACTTCGAACTATTATCTATGGTACGAAGTATGTTTCATTTTTAGCTACGCGCTGCTTGTTTTAAGTAACACAATAATTGTCTTATAACAAATCCCGTTGGATAATAGCTGAAGATTTTTATGTGGATGACATTCAGTAGTGGACGTACTGAAGGAGAATGTTATGTTATTTACAAAAACCTCCGTTCATCACTAGAAAATATTGGTTTTCCTCTGCATAAATGGTGCTACAATGCCAAGGCTATTATGGATAGATTTTCAAAGGATCCTAATTTTATGGTAGAATTAAAGAATAGTGAAGTTATAAGTGCTCTTGGCTTATTGTGACAACAGTCATTGGAGATAATTTCAAATTTATTATAAAAGATTGGTTACCTTCACAAAATATGACTAAAAGAAGTTTATTATAAGATGTAAATAATTTTTATGACCCTATTGGTTTAATTTCACCTATTCTAATTAAGGGTAAAATTTTCATTCAACAATTGTGGAACTTAAGAATAGATTGTGATGAACCATTGCTAAAAGATTTAAAATCTCGTTGGATACAACTTTATTCAAATTTAAAATTGTTCAGTATTTTAATCATACCTTAAAATGTAATAAGTACTAAAATTTCTAGTATGCAATTACATAGGTTTTGTGATGCTTCACGAAATGCGTTTGGTGCTTGTATATATACAGTCATATAATGATGATGGGTTGGTCAATGCATACTTGTACATTTCTAAATCAAGAGTAGCTCATCTTAAGGTATCCACAATTTCTAGGCTTGAATTATGCGGTGCTCTATTGTTGGCAGAACTTGTGGTTGATGTTCAGAAAGAGCTAACGAAATTAAATTTTGTTATTTCACTGCAAAATGTATATCTATTGACCGATTCAACAATTTCGCTTGTCTGGATTCAAAGTCAGTATTTTTTTCAAGTCTATATTTTTAATAGAATTGGTAGAAACAATGATGTGACTATCTCTATTAAATGGCGTCACACTGTTACTACCGATAATCCTCCTAGTCTAATCACTCAAGAAGTTGATAAAAAACGGTTTGATTAATTCAAATTGAGATGGAATGGTTCTCAGTTATTATCTCAGTCTAAAGATATTTGGCCTTTGACTCTAAATTTGCTTGCATAATTACCTGAAATGTGATAGATAAAGCTAGTGTATCAACGACATAAGATAGTTCTCAATAGTTACTATTCCAATTGGATCTTTCGAGTAACTGCTTTCATTCAGTGGTTTGTTATTAATTGCAAAATGAAGAAAGGTAACGTATTACAACGTAAAACGGATCTCTTGAGTCTTTAAGAAATAAGATTGGGTCACACATTTTTGATATTAAAAACACAAAGTGAAGTGTTTTTCAGCGATATCATCATCCAAGACCAATAATCTTCTTTATGGTCACTGCTGCTTCAAATCACTTAATCACTATTATTGATAGCGATGTCCTAATTCGTGTGGAAGGAAGAATTAAAAATGCTTTTACGTTATATAATGCTAAGCAGCCAATTTTTTTACACCCTACCTCATTTATTACATGTTTGCTTTTCGAACATGATCGTCGACATTTAAGCATGTTGGTCCACAGATTTAGCTTACGCATATGCATAAAATATATTGGCTTGTACGTATTATGATTATTGCTAGAAAAGTTGTTTGGAAATGCATTCAATGTTTCAATCCAAGCCAAGGTTCAGTATCCCTTTTATGACAGCTCTTCTTCGTGAGCGAGTAACTCTGCTCGCACTGAAATGGACTTTTGTGGTTCTATTATAGTTAAAAGTAGATTGAGAAAAGTAAACTCATTCAAATGTTATGTGTGTGTTTATGTGGATGTGCACATGAGCAATATATTTAGAACTTAAATCTACTTTGAAAACAAAAGACTTTTTAGTAGTGTTTTATCGTTTCATTACACAAAGGCGACAATGTTCAGAACAATTTAGTGATAATGGAACTGGTTTTATTGAAGTTAATCAAATATTACTAGACCGATTCAGAGCTCTACAAAAATGTAAAAATTAAGTCATTTTTTTGTTAATCTTAGTATTACGGGCATTTCATAACCCCATCTACGTTTATAATATTCACGTACCACAAACTGATGAGTCAGTGTCAGTCGGCCATTTTGTTATAAAAATGTCATGTTTTCGATTGAAAAATTCAAGGTTAGAAAAAATTAATTTTTTTGATTCTTTATCAATTTTTTTTTTTTATTACTATTCATTGTAATTCTTTAGACGCACACTTTTTTTGGTATTTTTTTTTTCAGTTCTATTGTTGTCATTTTATTGGTTGTGCTACATAGCACACGACATATTCGGTAACTATCGTTTACACGATTTCAAATCTTTAATCAATTTGTGGTGTCCTGTCATAAGTTGTCATCAAATTCCTGTTTGAATGTTTCATTGCGAGGTTCTTTGTCGTTGTATTGTGGGGTAGTTAATTATCATGTTGGTGTGTTAGACAGTTATCAAAACATAGTTTAAGTAACTTATAGTTTACTTATAATTTATAAAATATAGTTTAGAGTAAGGTTTCAAAGTTTAAGTCTATTTCATAAACTTGTATTCATAAATTTCAATGATATCTTAAGAGCATAAATAAAATTGTTGTTACTTTAAATTATTATTTAATCTCATTATCTTTTATGTTCAAATAACTGCCGTAGTTTAAAAACTTGTTATTTTTTAGTAAAATTTTATATTGTAAATTGTTATAACTTTTTGAAAATTTATGGATTAATATAAATTTTTTTGTAAGTATTTCATTATCTAATTAAGGTGTTACCAATAGGTGACTTCCTTTAATGTTATTAATGTCATTAATTAAAGTGTCAAAAAAAAAAACTTATTGTAAATTTAAATTGTACAGATGGTTTTTATAATAAAAAAAAAGGATTTCATACACATTATTTTCATTCGATATACTTCTTTTAAAAATTAGACAATTTCCTTATATAAAGGGTGACCACAACTTGAAACATATGTTAAATTAAAACATATAATGTTTACAATAAGTTAAAAAAATATTACATGAAACTTTAATTTATAGACATAAACGACCTCAGGAGTTTAACAAATAATATTATTCTGATGTTAAAAAAAATTATAATTTTTTTATTATTATATTTTGTTATATCAATTTTGTCTATATTTTGGATCAAATAATATAGTTCTATTAGAAAGGGAATAATTACCCTAATTAACCTTCTTAAAATATATATATATATATAGAAATGACTTAAGTATCAGAAAATATATTTGCAACTTTTAATTTCAATCCAATATGTTAAAAAGGAAGAGGGTGGCCCTTTTCAAAAAAAAAAAAGTTCTAGCTACCAATGTCTTATGATAGAGGGTCATATTGATATATAGGTGATTTTTTTATAGCTCTGGATAACTACTCGTAGCCATTCGATTTCTCTTAAAATAATAACTATATTAAGAAAATTCTTTTTGGTATTTGTTAGTTACCTATATTTCTCGATTTTTCAATTATAATAGTTTTTTTAATTCGTCCTTTAAAACCATGAAAACCTCTAGTATCTACTTTACATATGACTTCTTTTATTTATTGTTATTAAATTATTAATAATGAAGATTTTTGAATACTCGTATTTATTGTGCAATTTGTGTGGTGTACAAAAATTTTTTTTAATTTTAGGTCAGTGGTTAGTTATAAACCCTGATGGTTTAGATGATACCAATCAACCAATTAAAGCGCAATGTGTCAGACGCCGATGTAGTGAAGGAGATGTTTACTGGCCATTAGATGGATTCTGTCACCGAATGAATGAATCGTCAAGACAATTATGTCCTAACCAAAATACCCGATTGGCTGTCGATGCTTATGGTGAGGGTTATTGCAGGTGTTCAGATAACATGGCTATGCGCTACGCACGTGTCGACGAACAACTCAACACAGCTTGTTATCCTGTTTACACTCAAGGTCCATGTCGCCTGGGCTATGTAGTAACTGAAACGCAAGGACCTGGGTAAGGTTTTCATTTATTCGGAAAATTTATCACGAATGCTACATATTAATTATTTGTAGATAATCAAATTAAGTATAACAAAACAATATGAAAACTTTAACGTTGGATTGCACAATTTTTTATTATTACTTTGTATTAAACTATTAAGCTTTTAAATGTTCTGAGACTTTTAGAGATTTTTGGTGAAAAAATTTGGAAATTGAAATTTGTAAATATGATAACAACAATTTGAACTTGTAGACCATCTTAATTATTTTTAAAATTTGATTTTTAAATTTTGTTGTTTACTCATAACATTTGTTCATGAGTATATTTACAATATATATATATATATATATATATTGTAATATATACATTTCAATTACACTGTTGAATGACAATATTATTTTTCCATAAATGTATATTTATTTTATTATTTGTTATAATATTTATACACTTGAACGAAAATTATTAATAAATAATGCCACTAGCCAATTAGTTTATATGGTTTTCTATAATTTTTCATGATATAAATTTATTTTTAAATACTAGTATCCTAAGTGTACATAAACAATTAAAGTATTTTATAACATCGACTGTAAAATATATACTTAAATATTTACTTTGTGATTTAAAAATTATTTGTTTATAATTTAAAGGTTTGGAAATTGTACTGTAGACACATGCATGTCATTAACGCGATGGCGATGGGCCCCGATATCTTTAAACTCACCCCAAGCTCCATGGACCAACGGACGGTGTTACGAGCTGTACACCAATGGACCGTGTCCTAACAATGAACAATTCACAGTCCTTCTAGACAGCAGAAAACCAGGATGCAGTCAACGGCAAGCACCTTTGAATTTGTTCAGTAGCATGCCAACTCGATGCGACATGGACCACAATGGTGAATGTGTAGATGCTGTTCAATTATCCAACACCACAACTGCAGATTATACAGCACAACTATTGATTTCAGCGATTCGACATAAACGCACAAAGAGAAAATGGACATACAGTTAGCCTTAGATGCATAATGTTCGAGCAAACTTGTTGTGCTATAATATTACCCAGCATGGTATATCCTTAGTCATTTATTTATGTTATCAGTTCTATTCTAAGACTACAAGGGACGTTATACGAAAATTAAAACTAGCTGTTATGAATAAAGTATTTGTTTTTATATCGCATGAGTCGATACACGTGTAATAATTATTAAATGTATTTTTTTTATCTATGTAATTTATTATTAAATTAAGTTACATTGCGTGTGATGTATAAGACTTAGTCGATCAAGTCTTTATTGGTAAATGATACTATTGACAGTATAATGCATTCATTATTAATCTGTATCAGTAAATAGCACAGAATTGACGTATAAAAATATTCTTCTTAATTTAACAAAAATATCAATCATAGATTCAACTATAATTGTTATATTGATTATACAGTCTAACAAGATATTTTAAATTCTATATACAGAGTGATTTTTTTATCATAACCCACTCAATTACTTGCAGAATAATAATAATTTAAACATTTTTTTTCTTTATTATCTTTAGTTACACATTATTCTTGAATTTTTAACTATGTAATACTTTTTAAGTTCATCCCTTATGCCTTGGAAGGGGGTCAACTTTGTTTTTTTAAATGGTAACACATATTTTTAATTTAATAAAATGTTTGAGTTTTTAATTTGAAAGTAAATGGCATTTGAATTTTTAATATAACTTTAACACATGGGATTGTAAATACAGGTAGCTAATTGGATTTTTATGACATTGCTGTCTCAGTCACGGATTGTTTATTATCAATTATGAATATCAATAGATATACTTTCTGTATTGTCAGTTGGTGTATTTATAAACTCATAACAATGTGCCTTACTACAATTGATAATAACAATGCTGTGTACCTGCTAATATCGATGTTATAAAAAATCAATTAGCTAACTGTATTTGTAATCCCTTGTGTATTATACCTGTATATTAATTCAAAAATTTGAAACTTTAAATGATTATATCTAATAAACGAATTAAGTTACATTAAAAATTCAAATGCCATTTATTATTAAATTAAAAACTCAAACATCTTATTAAATTAAAAATATGTGTTACCATTTAAAAAAACCAAGTTGACACCCTTACCAGGCATAAGGGATGAACTTAAAAAGTATTACATAGTTAATAATTCAAGAATAATGTGTAACTAAAGATAAAAAAAAAAAAAAATGTTTAAATTATTATTATTCTGTAAGTAATTAAGTGGGTTATGATAAAAAAATCACCCTGTATAATAGTATTATTAATATTAAGACACATCTCACATTTAATTATGAAATATATTTCAACCCTGTAATTTCCACTTATAAATGAGTTCACATGTTTTAATGGACTTTGTAAATTTTTTAATCTCCTTTCTTCAAGTACCAGCGATAAATATTAATTTGTATTTAGTGGGGTTCAAATGATCAATTATTGAAGAAGTGTAATAAAAATTTTTAAAATAAAAAATCTCGTTTCCTGAGAATGCTGAGGTTTATTTGTGAACCGTTTTATGGTCGAAAATTAAATTTAGAAAAATTAAATTCCTAATATACTGATTTATGATTTAAAAAATAAAAACGAAGAGAATCGATGTTAAAATTTAAAGTGTAGCAAATTATAGTTGACAAAAAAAATGTCAGTAGTTTACAATATTTAGATGAATCCGTAATGGAACTATATTGCCATTTTCAAAAATAATTTTTGTTCTATAATATATAGTTTCTTAAATATTTATTAATAAGTAATTCAATAGCAACAAATTAAAAAATAATAATAATTTTATAATTTATCCATATTTGTTTTTATGATATTATGAAAAAAATGTGCAAAGTTTGAAATTAAAATGACAACTTTAACATGTTTAGGGATTTAAAAATGTTGACTATAATTTTAAAATTATGACAAAAACATACGTGCTCGCATTTAGATAAATACGCATCAGTTAACCTAATTTAATAATAAAATGAATGTTTGTGTGTACTACTAACGAGGCTTGACCTATTATAAAATCAATCAACTTCTCAAAGTAAATAAAACTATTGAATTCATTCTACAATTGTGTTGTTAAAAACAATCAAACCATTTTCACGTATATAGTGAGCCAAAAGTAAGGTTTTGGTTGTGATATAATATAATAAATNTAGATAAAAATTTGATATTATGTTTTTTAAGTTAAAAAAAAACTTCTGTCCAATACTAAATAATATCTTAACATTTACCATACAGTTTAATGTTCACCTAATGAACCATATAAATAACTCAATTAAAAATAATATAAAGTATTTTATTTTTGAAAATAAATATAAATACACTTCTCCAAATTAAAATAAGTCTGGATACTTATAAGTAAAAATACGGATAAATATTAAAATATGATAAAATTTGCATCATAAAATATACTTTAGTATCAAGTTGACTTCACATAATATACTTAAAAATTTACACTACACATGAGGGTCAATTCGAAATTTTACAATTTAAAAAAACCTAAAAACTATCAACATTTCAATCAATGTTCTAAATATTGTTGTTGGAATACAAATTTATAAGGATCGGCCCTAATGATTTAGATTGTTTCGGCACTTATTATCTGCAAAAGAATAAATAAAATAATATTAAAATATTTACCATTTTAAAATACAGACTGGAGGCACGGATATGAAAAAATTTATTATTAGAACTTTATCAGGTGCTTACTGTCTATCGTCTAGGTAAAAAAATGTTAATAACATTTGAAGTACTGGTCCAAAAGTTGTTATTAACCAGTTACATAATTTTCTATTTTACAACATAATTAATTATATACAATGTGATTAAAAAAAAAATAATATTGATATCCTCATAAAGTATAAAATTAATAAAATGTGAAATGTTTAAAACATTAATTTATAACTAAAAAAAAAATTAGTATTTTAAATATATTTTGAATTTCAAACAATAATAGCCACAAGCAGGTGTTGTAAATTACATATTTCAATTTATATAATATTCTATTAAACGTATTGTACAAAACAAAATATAAACGGTATTTTATAAAAAACAATTATCTATTATGTTAAGAAAAAAATATGTGTAAAAGAATATTAAAAGATCGGGCTATCATAATTATCAAACAAAATCATTAAATATATTATTTTGAACTATTTATATAGCATTTAGATAAGTATTGTGCTAATAACTTTTATTTTATTATTTAAAAAATTACAAATATATTAAACATGGAATTGTGAATTTTTTTTAAATTGTTTGTAAAAATTTCTTTTACTTACCTAACTAGCTTTATTAAATAAAACGTAAACTGCAGAAAGAAATAAATCTATTCTTTAATTTTTTTTTTTTATCACATTGTATTACAATTTCATAAATACATAATTCACTGTAAAATTGATTTATTAATTCTTGATTTACTAATTACTTATGTTCTTATAATAATGCGTTACTATTATTATTATGTTAAGCTTTAGCTGCGAAGCGATTATCTTACATTAAGATTGAATATCAATATTTTTTGAGAGATTAATTTTATTTTTGGATGGCTTATCTACAAATCCTCAACGTAACGTTTTTCAAATGATTGTTGAAAAAATATTTCTTATACTAAAAAGATCAATAAACTAGCTTTTTGTAATCAAAATTATTAATTTATATTAGTAACAAAATTTGTATTAAAACTAGTTTTAACACTAATGTTGCAAATTATATCCCTAAAAAACAATAATAAAAATAGTATGTTTGATTTATTGATTATCAAATTTATGACTTGATAAAGTTAAAAAGATTTATTTCTATCAATAAACTATTTTAAAATGTATTTATTATATTTTATAAAGCTTTAATTAGAATTTAAAACATTTTTTTTTTTTAATAATATTTTTTGAATCATTATTGTTTCTTAATTAGGAAGAAGACCAAAAAAGAGATGATGGGGTGTATTCGAATGTGATATGACGACGTCTGATGTTGAAGATTGTGTGAAAATTTAGGATAAACGTCGGCCGATACCAAGTAGTTGGGATTAAGGTAAGGAAAAAGAAGATGAAGATTTTTGTTTCTTAATTGACATATTCCCTCTTTATGTAATTTTAAAAATACTAATATATACTTTGAAATCGCACATGTATTATATCTCTGAAAATAAAATACTGTATTTTTACATTACACATAAATTGAGAAATATATGAAAGTAAAAAATACCAAAAATGATTTTCATAATAAAATTATTTTATAAGAGAAATCGAGTATCTAGCATAAAAAGAATTACCTAGCGAGTATATAACACAGCACATATATTCCGTAAAATTAAATAAATTGCAACAATATTTGAGATTTTTCAACTTAAACATAAAATTAAAATAGAGTTTTGATGTTAGGGGAAATCTAATGTTGTTAACTAAGTCGTCCTCATCTCTAGATTCCATAAAATTTAAATTAAAAACCCAGAATAATTAATTAATATAGCATTGGACAGTAAAATAAAATAACATTCTTCAGGTATTGCAATTCACCTCATTTTACGGTATTATTTAAATAGGATAATTTTTCCCAATACCTTCAAATGAAAAAAAAAAGCATAAATACATTTTTTTTATATAAAGTGTGATGGTGTCACGTTACCATTATTGTAAAAAATTATTATTATAAAATACAGACAGCACATTCGCTTCTAGAGACTGTTGAATTGGCGATTAATATTTACAGCAAAATTGTCAATCGTCTGAATTACTTTTTAAACTCAAGAGGCCTGGCCATCTGGGTCAGTCCATTTCAGTGCTTTGTGTCATTCATCAGTCTCAGTACTCGGTTGTCGCTGTCCGGCTTATTGCATAAAATAAAGTCTTTGTTTTTCCATATTTCCATATTCCCCTATTTACTCTCGTTCTCGACAATTCAAGAGTACTTGTGTCTTGCTTTTCGTCTGCACTTCATACTTAGGTGTTACCCTTGTTCTCTTCCTATAACAACGGCCTTTCGACACCCACAGCGAATCCGGAGTGTAAGCTGAGCACAGTAACTGCTGTATGATCACACGTGCATGAATACCAAGATATGAAGACTCATCATCATCTTCGTACACACTACACACCTCGCTCACCCTCCCTTTAGTGTTTTGTTGTGTATTACGGCAAAGGGTGAATATAATTCATTTTCCTCGTATTAAGACGATACCGTAGTATTAAAATATCAATTTATTACAGATATACGATTTTTTAACAAATGTTTAACCTTAAAACTCTTTTCATACCTACTTTGAATTACTTTTGGTTTTGAAATAAATATCTGATTAATTAAAAGTTTGAACGGTCTTTCTACTAAAATATAGAGAAACAAACTTGCTGCATAACTCATTACTACATCCGATACAGAATTAGTAATCTGAAATAAATTTACATTCATTCTTAATACATTAGTAATAATGTATTAATAAATTATTGATAAGATAATTTTGTTACTTAAGAGTATGACAAAAAATAGACGAAACACTTTAATTTTAATACAAAAATATCATTACGAATTGTGTGTTACTTTCATATTTATTATTTAAGATAAGGACTTCTGTATACATAAAACCTAGGATATTATATGTAGAATCACAAATCAAGTGTATTGATCTAATGTCTGAATGTCAAGTGTACGAACCAACTTGAAAGTCATATAATTTAAAAATAAAATCTAAGTTTAAATCTCACTCTTCCGTTACATTTAAGACTATGTTATATAGGCCTAATTTAGGGTTTAAAACTAAGCTTAAATTTAGCTACATGTTAAAAAAATTATTGGAATAATTGATAATGAGATATACAGTGTGATCAGTTTACCATAAACCGCTCGATTACTCTAAAAACAAATACAATCATTTTTGATTATTTTTAATTACATATAATTCTTGATTCATCAGCTAATATTTAATTTTTAGAATCATCCCTTATAACTTAAAGGGGTGTCAACTTTATTTTTTTTTAATGGCAACATACATATTTAACTAGATTATAAAATAGGAAATAATCTAATTAAGAAAATGACTGGTCGGTAACATTTTTTAAAACAGTATTTCTAGAGTTATTAACAATTTCAATTAATGACTGGAGGTATTGAATGGGTGCTTCTATTTTTAACACGAGTCATTTTTTGACGTAATCTTCGTCCTGCCCAAGAATAACATTCAAAATATAATGTTTCCATTAACAAAAATAGTTGACACCTCTCTAAGTATAAGGGATGATTCTAAAAACTAAATATTAGCTGATAAATCAAGAATTATATGTAACCAAAAAGAATCAAAAATTATTTTTCTAATGTTCTATTTATTGTGTGAGTAATCAAGTGGTTTATAGTAAACCGATCACTTTGTATAGCTCATTATCAATTCAAAACATTTTTTTAACATGTAGCTAAATTTAAACTTAGTTTTAAACCCTAAATTAGGCCTTTATGACATAGTCTTAAATGTAACGGATGTATGAGATTTAAATATAAATCCGTGTTTATTAATTTGCTATTGACGTAACACCAAAAATTAATCGTAACGCAAATTTTGACAGCGTCTTAGTATGCATATTAAAGTGTAATTTTTGAGAAGCATGCAAATATTTTAAATCTTTTACTCATTTAAAATTTAACTGTTTTTTAATCGAATATTAGAACAGCGCGCGCTATTCAATAACCTAAAATAAGTTAGTAATTAGCTAAATAGCATCTCACTATAAGATATGACTAACCTCTATTTAATACGTACTAGTTAGAAGCACTTTTTGGTACTAAGAAACTATAAAACTTACATATATTTTGATATTAAAATGATCAGGTGTTCTTCTACTTGCAGTATCAGTGACAGGAAATATTGAATTCACCATATAAGCGTTGAAATTTAAATGTGCTACAACTTTGAATAATTTCCATGATAAAATATTTTTTAAGAAATCTGTAATAATAGTTCAATTGTTTTAGGTGATGGTAAAGAAAATTAATATTAAGTACTTTTTTAAACGTTTTAAATTTTATTGATAATTATTCAAATAATAATTTAATTTTCAAAATATAAAAATAATTTTTCACGTACTCGATGGTCCTAATATTAATGTGTAAATTAAAGTAACTATTCCCGTTGCCCAAAGACTTCGTATTGTAGATCCATAAAGTGCAGCTAGAAATGGTTCATAAACGTAAGAAGGGTGATAAATTATAGCACCACTAAACCAACAAAACATCATTATGAATACAGAAATGGCTAGTAAAACATTACTTTTCATCTGAAATTTAATTGAATCAGTATGAAATTATAATACAGTGTTTTTTTAGAACTTAAAAAGTATATATTTCTTACTATACTAAGCTTAGGAGAATTTTTTTTTCTTTTATATAGCAAATAACCAAATATAGCTCCTACGATGTATGGACCCACTCTTGTATGCGATTTAACATAAATTGACATGAAGTATATATTGCTAGTAACACTTTTCGCTAAACTAAATTTAAACAAAAATAATTTTTATTTGATGTTCATATAGATATAAAATGATTATGTATAATAGACGATATCANGATATAAAATGATTATGTATAATAGACGATATCAGTACTGACAATTATTGTCAATCATTGGTGCAGTACTGGCATATTTAACAAACAATAAAACATTTTCATACTAGTTATGATTATGATGTAAGTTGTAATTTTTTTTTGAGGGAACCTAAATTTTAAATTGTTACTCTTTTATTTCATTATATACAGAGTGAAACAGATCTAATTGACAGCTCATATAACTTATGATCTACATAACATTTTATACTTTTTTTTTTTTTTAATCAATTTTTACAATATAGACCTATAATATTTAAATATGATTTATGTTATTTTTCGCAATTATAAAAAATATTTTAAAAATTAATTTTTTTATTAAAATTTTTTTTTTTCAAGATTTGTAGATAGCTATTTTATAGATTAGTTTTAAAGAAAAATTTTCATACCACAAATTTTTATTTTAATTCAGTAGTTACGTTTATACCGAAGTAACTACTGAATTAAAAAAATAGTTTTTGCAATGAAAAATTTTTATTTAAAACTAATTTATAAAATGGTTATCTTCAAATCTTCAAAAAAAAATGTTAATAAAAAATTTAATTTTTAAAATATTTTAGGTAATAGCAAAAAATAACATGAAACATAATTTAAATATAGTTCTATATTGTAAAAATTGATTAAAAAAAAAAAAAGTATAAATTGTTATGATAAATTTTCTTTATTATAATTGTTATATTAATTAATTGTTACTCAAAAAATGTAAAATTAAATTATAAGCCTTGTTTATTTTATCACATTATATCAAATTTGATATAATTGCATGTTACTTTATAAATTTTATGTTTCTAATGACATTTGTAAGTATAATGTTTATTGAATATTTTAATTGTAGTTTATTTTAACTGAATTATGTTACAAATTATTTAGATAAAAAATCAGTGTTTATCATTTCATTTTCTAAATTACAGTTCACTCAACAAGTATTAAAATCTTTTAATCAAATCATTATTCTCTCAACATATTGAATCTGTGGCTAATACTAACTTTTTACAGGAATTTCTATGCATAGAAATTCTGTAATGCATAGTAATTCTATGCATAGTAATTCTGTTACAAAATNGTAATTCTATGCATAGTAATTCTGTTACAAAATCGAGAATTAGATATTAAAAAAAAATAAAACATTTTCTCTTTATTATATTTTAGTTATATGATTTTCTTATTTTATTAATTGTAAAGCATTGTGTAATATTCAATGCTGATTGCATAATAATTTATGTATTTTATTTTTAACGTTTTATCAGCCCCTTAAAGACCATAACGGCCTCTCCTAAAGGAGGACGTCTCTTAACCATTTATACTCCCGGTCGGGTGGTAAGTCCGTCGTCGGAGAGAGGGATGGCGACTCCAATTATCGAACTGATCTCTCGTTCGGAAAATGAAACCGCTCGTGACCGAGTTTCGAACCCGAGACAGTGCGCGTCAAGCACTTCTCCTATACGTGATTGAAGTATATAAATTAATAATAGTAATGGAAACTATTTTGGGGAAAATTATTTTTAGTAAACATGTAATTCCCAATATTCCATCTAATACAAAGTCGTTGACTAGTGACGACTTCACAAACGACATAGACTTTATAGAAAACCACATGGTAGAAATGATATGGGTTTTTTTATAGAAAATTTAAATATTTTTTTAATTACATATTATAGCAAACTCTAAAAATAATAGTCAACAAAATACGATAATGTTGTAATTTTAATCGTACGCGTATTCGTTAAAAGGACCTATTTTCACTGCTTATATTTTTTAAGATAAGTAAATTCAATTTATGCTACGAAAAAAATACTCAATTTATTGAAGAATTACATATTTTGTTTGTAAAAAAAAGTATATATAATTTTGTAAATTCTAAGTATTTTATTATTAGTGATTATAGCTCGTGAGCTATAATAGTTAAATGAGCTACAGATCCATTTCATAACAATATTTATAAAAATACGAAGTTTGTAAATGCATATTTTGGGTGTTGGGGCATACTAGGCATATAATTGGTTTGTTGGAGTTATAATGTATATTATTTCCTGTAAATTCAAGGAAATTTTGTTTCAATGAAGGTAAAAAAAAAATAAATTCTTAAATCATTTTTTTAAAATATGTTTACTCGTTAATATGTTCTTAGTATTTTTGAAGTTATTTTTATTTGTTTATGATATTGATTGGGTTTTATAAGTTTTAAGCAGTTCACTGGAATTAATATTATCGCACAATCACTACCACCATCCGCTGAATCAAATATGTGTATGGCTATCTATAAATTTATTTTCGTCACAACAATACATAAAGGTACATATTAAAAGGAAATTCTTCTGATAAGTCCGTAGACTATAATCGTATTTCTAGCGTTGTTACATTGTTATTTGTAGATTATTTTGTGGTAAATCGTGTCAATTTATTTTTTGTTTTCAGTTAGTATTTTGAGATTCAATTATAAATACTAGTATTTAGACTGTTCACATTAATCAATGCTAAAAGAAAACCTAACAAGTCCAGCTCGATTGCAAAAGTTTGCTTCGGAATTAGGCAAAGAAATATATTCAACCGACAATAAAGTGCTAATTTGTAAAACTAGTGAAATAAAAGTATTAAAACTTAATTATTTACATTTTAATAATCTTATTATTACGATTGAAAATCAGAAACAGAATTCATTTTTGAAGATTACTAAAATTTTTCAAATTGTGTTAATTTATATTTTTGATTTTTACTTGTTTATAATTTTTTACTAAAAAGTTATAGTTTATAATAAAAAATTGTGCATTTTTAATATTTCTTGCTCTATCAAAATATAATTATTTTAGATTTTTAGTATAGTCGTTGGGTGGGGTATACTGCCGTGCTAAGCGAAAAAAGGATAACTCCAGTCAATATGATTTTTCAGGAACGCAAAAAAACATTTTTAACAGTAAATCAAGATACCTTTTTTTCCCAATGTATGAACATAAGTCAAAAGACGATAACTCCATTATTTTTTATGTGATATACCAAGTTTTTGTTTAGTATTTGGATTTACCGTGTTTTCGCTTAGAAAACATCAAATATATTGAACTAACCGTATATTTTCTTATTTTATATTTCAATTACATCGAAAATCGGCGTAAAACCACTAAATTTACCTATACAAAAAAAATTTTTTTTTTAATTTTGGAGTTATCCTGTTTTTGCTTAGCACGGCAGTATAGGGGGGTTAAGTCCCTCCTCAAATTTACAAATTAGCAAAGTTATTCGCATTATTATATAAAAATTAATAGCCATCTTTTTAAGATATAAGAGATGAACAAAAACAATACTTCTTGTTTGATAAGTTGAGAAAATGATGTAACACATGAAATCAAAAATTAAATTCTAAATTATTTTTATTTTTCAATAGATAAGTGATTTTAAATTACAGAACTGCACCGTAAATATATTAAAGTCAAATATTAATGCATTAAAAATTAAAATTTATTACAAAAGTTAAGTTAATTTAATTAAATAACTCAATATTTATTAATGTATTGTAAGTAGTCGTTTCTTGATGCGTAGATATAAGGATACTATTTTATTGCAGTAGGCTAGTTAGGTTTTCCCACCATCTTTAAAAGAAGCATAACTTTTAAAGTGGACATCAAAGACAAATTAACAATAGTAACAATAAAATTACTTTGCAGTAAAAAAATAATTATTGAAACCAGAAGTTTATGAAGTTAATCTTAAAAAAAATGTTTTGTCAACACTTACTTTATGTTAAACTCAAGATTTGCGGGTATGTGGTTCATATAAGTAATGTTGAAAAGTATAGCTGTTGATATAACAATAAGTGAAACCAAAATATTGAATCCAAATTTCGGACTTCTATGAATGATATACGTCAATATAATTCCCATTGTTGTAAAATGAAATTCACAAGACATGAACCAAGTATGAATTCCACACTTAAAAGCGAATTAAAAAGTTATTAACGAATTTTAATATAAAAATAAATTATTTTTAGTTAATTATATGTTTTACTAATGTATCTGTTTTAATGTAGTTGTTTAAATATAACAAATACAGCCACCACACGTTCCTACAATTATCTTTATCTGTACCAATAAAATTTTCCCATAAAGGTCCACTGCCCATTTTGTATTGAAAAGTTGCAAAAAAAAATATCACCATAGCGTACACAGGCGTAAATCTGAAACAATTTAAAATTTTCAGTTATAATACAATCTAAATAATTATATGATTACCTGAAATATTTAAACATTAATATTTTTAAAGGATGTACAAATGAAGTCTCTAGGCGATCAAGAAGAATCAAAACCATCAATGCTCCACTAATGACAAAAAAAATATCTACCAATAAATCCATGTGTGATGTAAAAATTGATATATAATAATTATAATACACCTTTACCAAAAAAAATTAATTAAAGGTTAATAAATTTAATTAATATCACCTGTAATTCTAATCGTCTTAAGACTAATTAAACAAACCTGCTCGATGATTTCGTAATTTTGTAAAGGTCCCATTAAACGGTAAATCCATCTATGGCCAAAAATAATTGATATTGCAGATATGGTCGAAATACCACTTAAAGGTGACAAATCTATGCCTCTTAATATGTAATTTCTTTGCGTTAAGCTTTGCATAGCACGTCGCGCGGAAAAACACATTAACATATCAACTTTACGGTTTTCTAAAATATTACGTAAGATAATAAAATATTATATTATTTATGTCACATAAACTTTATCGTAATTTCTATCTAAATTCGTATTTAAAAAAAGTGTCCATGGGAGTTTTGGGGATCAACTTTGAAAAATCAAATGAAAACAAATGTTTTTTTTTTAAATGCAACATAAATAGTAATTTTTTCATACAATTTATAAAAAAAATATTAACAAGATTATTATAATAGTATCAATAATATTTAATACTGTAGTTAAAAAAAATATCTTTAATGAGCTACAGCTCTTTAAATGAAAGAAAATCAAAAATCAAATAAATATCGTAGTGTTATTTCAGAATAAAAGATAAATTTTGTTATGCGAGTGTGTAACATTTATAAACTTTTATTGTTCGGTTTCGCCTAATATTGTAATAAAGTGTAATATCTGATAAAAATTAAAGTACATTAATTATAGTATAGTAACATAAATACTCTCCATACTTGATTATGTCCGTTTGACAGTTATAGGATATAATAAATAACCGACAAGGCCTAATCATAGTTCTCATGAACTTGTAATATATTTGGTACAAAATAAAACTTAATTTTCGTCAAAAATAAAAGGGATTTAACATAATTAAATTTATTTAGTTATGATAAAAACATTTTATTTGAAACTATATTTATATTTTCAATAAGTTTTGAGAAAAAAAAATGTATCATGAAATTTTGATCACTCTGTACAGACAAATTTGGTTTTAGATTTATATAATAAAAGTCATTTTGATTGATATTTTTCGTTACGTCACAATTTTAAAATTATTTAAATTCAGGTTTTGACGACATTAATTAAAAATTCTAAGTAATTTTAAGTAAGAAATAATTACCTTTATTCCATTGCCATATTTCTTGTTTTGAATATGCAGTAAAATCAAAAAGAGTTGCAAACATTACTAGTAATAGCAGTACTAAAATGACAAACCTATAAAATTTAATTAATTGCGATTCTATATAATATTTATTATTTATTACTATTAGCCATTATAAGCTTAGTTTAATGTATAATCTATTTGAACACAGTCTTATTCTAATGACTTTATGTTTTTAATTACCATATAAAACAATTTAAAGTAAAATAAATCTTAAATAAAGCTGGACTAAGAAATATGTATCTCAAGACAATATTGCTTAACTTTTACATTTTTTTCTTTAATTTATAGAATATAGGAACTAATTTTATCAAACTAATATTTGATAAAAACTCATTTATCATTAAAACATTATTTATCAATTAAAAATGAAAAATATTTTGTATTGATGCAATACAGAAATAAGAAAATTAAAAATCAATATCTTTTAGTGTGATGAGATATTGTTTATAATTTTATCTTAATAATAAAAACTATAAAAACTTTAGTAAAATTTAAATAATTTAGAAACTCGTACACATAAGTCCAGTCGTAAGCATCATACTTATCTCCTGCACGTTCTGTCTGTGTACACATCTTATCGTTTACTGATATATTTTCAATAGAAGTTATGTTATTTTCTTTTATGTATGATTGGAGATAAGTTTGAATTTCAAATGAAGAACATGATTGTGGAACGCATAGCGCCCATTTAATGATATCTAAACGTTGCTTGAACCTTGCTCCGCCATACTAAAACATTAAATTATTTAACCATTTTTTCATGTATTATCAAAAATGTAACTGAACATTTTTAATGAAAACAATATAACCAATTTGTCAAACAAGTCATTAATATCAAAATATCAACATTTTTATAATTTGAATAATTAATTAATGGCATGGCTGATTAAACAAAGCATTAATGGCTGATACGCTGTTTCGGGTTCGAGAATTAGTCACAGACTACTTTTCTTATTAAGCGAGAGATTATCTCAGTTGTTAGAACCAACATCACTCTCTTCAGTAACAAACTATCCGTATCAGAGTATTTAAGCTTAAATTTTAAAAGCTTAAATATAAATATTTAAGAAACCTATTCTTTGTAGGTGGGTAAAAGAATGTAAATTTTTTTAATTATTATTACATGTTACGTGTGTAATTTGAAACAAAAAAATACTGCTTACATAAATTTTATGCCATGATGGAAGCATTGGATTATAATCTCTAGTATAAGGATCCGTTTGAGAATATTCTCGTGGAACATTTATTTTGATATCTATCAGACAATATTGAGCTNGTCAAAAGATCACAAATCGTATCTAGTCGAAGACATTACCCTTCAAAATTGAAAAAAATTCCCTCGTTCCCCGTAAATGGGGGAAGCCTTCAAAAAAATTAGAAATTTAAAAATCGCTAATTTTCAAAATTTTTAAAATTTTTTNAAAAAATTACAAATTTAAAAATCGCTAATTTTCGAAATTTTTTAAATTTTTTTTACTAAAAACTGCCGTAACTTTTTCAAAAATGAACATATCAATATAATTTTTTTTTGATAGATGCTTGATGTCCTTACCTATGATTTGGTATATTTTTTTTGTAAATGTTACCCTTTATCTGCTGACAGGGGGGGATTTAAAATGACAACTTTTTTACAAAAAATTAACTTTTTCAACTTAACTTTTGAAAATGTTCCGGAAGGTCTGACACTTTTATATATATCTTAAATTAAAGCTAATGTAATATACTTTAATTTGAAAAAAAAAAATTTGACCTCTGGACTTGTCTTCACGGCGAAAATGGCTACCGAATGCTATTTTCGTGTGAAAATTCTCGATTTTATTATTTATATTATATTTAACTTTATAATGCTATAACTTATTGAAAAGTTTATGGATCCACACAATTTTTTTATGAGAAATAATATTTTTTAATAAACCCTTTTTCATTCGACATACTTTATCTTAATCGAGATATTAAGGAACCAGCAAATCAAGTAGCTTTTGGAATAAAACACCAATTTTTTTAAAATTAAACACTATCTAAAGATTTGCATCGAAGCGTTTATTTTTGATAGTGATTTTAATCACTGTCAGATATCATTATACTTGATCCAACTATACCATGGCATCACTGTGCCGCGGCCCCCCTGTGCTGGGTTTTTTATGTTAAAAAACGGAAATTTCATCAAACAATTTGAAAAAATGTTAATAAATAAATAAAACATGATAAACAAAGTGGCATAATTTTTTTGAACATATATGCATTTAATCAAAATACTCAATCAATTAGTAATTTATAACGTTTCACTCTGGCCTTCCTTCGTAATACGTATATTTATCATGAACGAAAATATAATGAGAGTATTGGCATAGCTTGAAAAATTTATTTCTGAGTGCTATACTATAGTCCTTATCTTTATTTCATAACTTTGGATTGTAAGATCTAATGGGAAGTCTTTTTTTCACATAATTATACCTTCACCTTTTAATAAATTTTAATTTATTTATGAGGACTACGAATGTTTGTATGATAGTTAAAGCCTTTACAGCCCCCATGCAACTTATGCTAATATAAAGAATAGTCAGTTGATCTGAGAGATTCTGCATAACACCTATCAGCAATTTTTTGACATGGAATTTTTTTATTTTTCTGTTGTTTAAATAACTGTTAGAAAAGTTTTATTTATTCTGTTATAATATTTTTTAATAAATAATCTTGTAATCAATTAATTAGGAATCAATAAGTATAGTTGTTCATTTTTTTTTCTCATATTTTTAGTATTTATTTTAAACAAATTACTTACTTTGTTGAGCCCATAGTGTAGAGGTTTTTATATTCTCTTGCAGTCTTATACTGTCTTTTTGACATTTTGGATTACTTGAATTTAAAATAGTGTTCGGCAAAGATGGTATTATGTTTGGTGAAAATGTCAATAATGCATTAGTACTTAGTACAAACAATAATAATGACAAAAAATAAGACCCCATCTTATTTAACCATAAAGATTCCTGTAAAATTGTATAATATGTAAAATATATAAAAAGTATATATAAGTATAATAAAAAAATATGTCAAATGAAAGAAGTATATAAGTAGTATCATAAAAAATTGTATTGATCTTTACATTTTTCAAAAGTTTAAATAAAATCAGTTCGGCGAGAGCTAAGAAAAAATTGTACCAGACAAAAAAAAAAAAATAAATAAAAGATCGTGGCCTAGTTGGGACAACTATAGATGATATCTGAGAGTGATTATAATCATTATTATAAGAAACGCTTCGATGAAAATCTATAGATAGTCATTAATTTTAAGAAATTGGTGAATTATTAAAAGCAAAATTAATTCTAATATCATTCATTGTTCCTAATTAGTAGTTGTATGATTTATACGTATAATATTTGATTAAATATCAATTAAAGCAATTTAATATAGTATGAAATTAATATTAAATAATTTAGTATGGTAATTTTTACGGAGAAATTATAAAGCAGTTATTACTTTTATGGCAAATTGATATAAAAATTGAAGTTAAATACAAACGTTTTTAGGAAATAATTTGTTTTTAATTATGAATTAAATGTTTCATAAGGAGTTTTCATCAAATTCAAAAATTTATATTTCTTGAGTAATTTTTCGCGCTGATTTCAAATCTACAATTAAGTTTTAGCTTCGATGCAAAACTGAGAAAGTATTAATTTTACTATGATGTGTTTATTTTTTTATTTTTTTTTTCTGTGTCTGTGAATGCCCAAACTGAGCTTTTGCTGTACCGATTTTGATGCAAAATATGTCAAAAGATCACAAATCGTATCTAGTCGAAGACATTACCCTCAAAATTTGAAAAAAATCCCTCGTTTCCCGTAAACGGGGGAAATCCCCCAAAAAATTACAAATTTTCGAAATTTTTTCAATTTTTTTCACTTAAAATTGCCATCATTTTTAAATATAACCAAATCAATTTATTTATTTTTTTTATAGATACCTTAGGTATTTGCCTATCATTTTATATATTTTTGTGAACATTTGACTTTTTACAAGCCCACAGGGGGTGATTTCAAATGACAACTTTTTCAACGTAACTTAAAAATGTTCCAGATATAATGGACACTTATATATATATATATCTTAAATTAAAGCTTATATAATATACTTTATTTTGAAAAAAAAATTTGACCTCTGGACTTGTCTTCGTGGTGAAAATGGACTTCAAAGCTAAAGAAAGACGTACGATTTCCGTGAAAAAATTGTCGATTTCATATTTTATATTATTATATATATATTGCTATAACATTTGGAAAAATGTATGAATCAATATTATTATTTTTTATAATACATTTTTATACACCCCTTTCATCCGACACGCTTTTTTTGTAAATCCGATCGTACCCCTTTATCCAAAAGGGGTTAAAACTTTAAACATACGTATTGAAACTACGACATTTTCAATTTAATTTTTAAAGTGTTCCAGAAATACTGACACTTTTATATGTATCTTAAATTAAAGCTTATGTAATATACTTTAATTTGAAAAAAAAAAGTTTGACCTCTGATGTGTCTTTAGGGTGAAAATGACTACCATATTCAAGAATATGCTATTTTTGTGTTAAAATTCTGGGTTTTGTATTTTATTTTATTTTAAAATACATGACAAGGGGAGTACACTGATTTCCCCCATTAACGGAAAACGAGGGAATTATTTTCAATTTTTGAGGGTAATCTCTTCGACTAGATACAATTTTTGATCTTTTGAGAAATGAGATTGAGGGGTAATAGACACAAAAAAAACACATCATAGTAAAATTAATACTTTCTCAGATTCGCATCGAAACTAAAATAACTATTAAAGTTGCCTGTTATATTTTTTTCATAAATTAAGTAGATCATACGTCATTAACAATTAACAAAAGAAAAATTACGTTAACGTAAAATCTAAAAAAATATCCGTTTGAGAATTTTATTTTATTAATTCCTTTAATTAATTAAATAATTAATAAGTCGTTTATACCCAGCATAACATTTAAGTATTTTAAATTTTAGACATTTGTTTAAAAGAGAGTATTTTACGCCTTGCTTTTAAAGTTCATAAATAATGTGATAGTTAAAGTACTGCACAGGCCGTGTTTATTTTAAAAATATGTTGTTACAGTAAGTTTTTTATAATAGAAGAAAACGATTTTGAAGGGAATTTGGGATGAGACTTCATATAAGTTGAGATAAATTGACTAATGGCATCAAAAACAATGTTATAAAATATTTTAAGTGCTTGATTGACGTCATAATTATGAACATATATTTCTAGTCATCGCATGCCAAGTATAAATTTAAATTGCATTAGAATTTAAGGTTTTAGGTTTAGAATTTAAGGAAAGGCATGTAAAGTAAAGTGGAAGATGTCGGGAATCAATTAAAAGTAGAGGGTTATGAAATAGAGAAATATAATTTATCTATGTCCGAGAGACCTAAATCTAATACATTATTACTGAGATCATGAATGATATTAAATTGAGTAAGATTATGATAATAAATAAAAGAAGAAAAAACAGTTTCATAAGTCGAAATATCGGTATACAAAGGCCTTAAATAATAATTTACTAATTTACACATTAATTTAAGNTCGAAATATCGGTATACAAAGGCCTTAAATAATAATTTACTAATTTCCACATTAATTTAGGAATATTGTAATTTCCTAATAAAATATACTTATTACTAGTGTATTTATTATAAAATTAGCAATTGAATTAACGAATGTATAAAAATAATCACCATAAGTAAGTGGTGAGAAATAAACAGCACTAACAATTACAGACATATCAATCCATTTAATTAAAATAATAATTGCTCAAACGCAATGGAAACTATAGATAATTGGATCGGTAATTGGTTGGACATAAATTTTTATACTTAAAGCTCATAGTAAACCGCCTTCTTTTAAACGTGAGCTCTTTACATTACTCCTATCTCAACAATAAACATTATAATTATTAAAACCTAGTCGAACTTCACTAATCAGCGGTAACTAAGTTTCAGTAAAAACCACAACGTCATGATTATTAATAGCTATGTTACAAATAAAATATTCAACTTAACTAAGTAAATAATTCGTCGTGTTTTTAAATAGTAACTTTAACCTCTTCTAATGAGCGTAAAACGATGTAAATTTTATTAACTATTTGTTATGGGCGAAGTGACGATGATGAACAAACAGTATTTGGCACAATTAATTACAAAAAAAACAGTAAGGAGCCGTTTATTCGCACGAGAACAAGATGAAATAACAATTACAAACAATGTTGCACTGTAGTTAGAGACTAAAAGAATAAATAATCAAAAGATTGTTTAAACGGTGCGGGCAGTTCGGTATGACGAAGGTGACTTACACGTATATTTGTGGAGGGTCGTCGTAGGGGACTTGCTTGACTTTGGCACGCGGTGCTAGTCAGTCTAACTACCATTGACACGTAGTATGGCTGACAAAGGTGGCAAAGGTCGCGGGGATCTGTGGAACGCGAACGACAAAGGACCGTGTCATATTGGAGACGAAGTTTGTTTTGCTGTACGGGTTACAAAATTCACAAGTACTGAAAATTCATGATTTAGGTCGAGATGTACTTTTTGACAAAACACAAGTTAAATGAAAATATACTGGGCAAATCGAACACTAGATACACACCTTGTTATAATCGCGTATCATCTCAGGGTATTTACCGAAATAGACTTCATACATGTATAGAGAAACACAAAAGTATAGCTAGGGATTTAAAATAACTAAGATAAATAACCGGACTAGCGATAACGTGAAATATGTGTTACTATTACGATAGACAGCTGACAACTCAATTGGCATATAATAATACTTTTTGGAAAATTTAATGATCTATCAAAAATATTCTGATAAATTTTACGTTAAATACCATAATTTTTTTATTTAAACATGAAAAATTATAGAACTACCTATACGACTAATTTTCAATCCCCTTCATTCACATAAACAATATAAATTATAAAAATTAAATTAAAAAAAAAAATTTTTTTTATAGTTATTAACAAAATAGTGAAGTAGCGATCGAAAATATTTTAAAATAAAAATTATTGTCTATGAATAGTGGATATATATGAACTTCTAACTTAACTCCTAAAGTAGATACCAAAAATCTAAATTTGACAATTAGTTCTGTGTAAATGTTATTGATATATTTAATTCAATTAATATTATATTTTTAATAATCACTTGATTTGCCTTTATTCCTACTTAATTTTTATACTCAAAATACTTCACCTTATAGATCTTTGATTGATATTAGTATTTACCTTGATACTTCTGTGAATATTTTGAAGTAAATATAAACCGTGATTCTTTGTGTCGTATAAAAATGATAGCGACTGATCACTTATAAATCGAACGAATGAAAACAGAGTAATGAGAGAACAAATCTAGGAATCACACAGAATGAATTATTTTTTATATATTTTATTTATGATAAATTGATAAACGATGGCGCCAACAACCTTCCCGACCGGTTATGGTTGAGTGCACTTGATTTTATTACTAATAGATAATAAGTGATGCACCTATATTATAACATTCATCTTAATCTTTTTAAATGTTATCCTCACAAAATAAAGTTATAATATTGAATACATAAATAAAGTTTAAAATTAAAGTTAATAACTACAAAACACATTTGAAAATAGATATTATTTTAGCAAAAATATAATTATTTATGTATTTTATATATTTTTTTGATATTTTATGTTTTAAATTGCATTGTAGTACATAAAATAAATATGTTTGACCTTTTATAAAAAAAAATTACAGATGAATTATTTACATGAGTTCTAATATTTCTAAACTTTATGTGTGAAAAATTGTTGGATTAACAATAATTAATCGATATTTAAAGCCTCAAGATGACAAGATACATTAACCAAACCAGATTATTGCTTTTTACTTCTTTTTTTTATTGAGTGGTATTATTAGTAGTTTATTAATTTACATAAGTGGAGCGGCGTATTTATATACAGGCATTATAGGCAAAAGCCTACAGCGGCAAATTTATAAAAAGCGTGTTATTTTTTTATTGTTATGACATATTGACTTCCTAATAATTATTATAATTGTTTTTATTTAATGTGTATTTATGATATATATATATATTGATAGCTATAAGCAAAGTTAAATCTATTTTCAATTTTCTAAGAACAATAGCAGTCTGTTCTTATCGCTGTCTCTGTAGAGTTTTTTAAACCGGTAAAAATTGACTAATGTAATCTTAAAATTGTTTTAAAAAACATATCATACCTGAGGATGTAACTGTCATAATTCGACTAGTGTTCGAGTATGTTCTTTATGGTGTGCTAATAATTTACGTTTATTTTTTGTTAAATATTCTTTTTATTTTCTGAATATGAGTGCAAATAGAAAACAGTTAAGTGGTGACCAATACAAAATGATTGTCAAACTAAAAAGTGACAGACTAAAAAATGTTTAAAATCAAACATCGATGAAAACTAATTTTTTAACAAATCAGTTTCTTCTACTTTTTGTACAAGAATTAGTAACAATAAAACTACAGGTATTATTGTTGTTCGTATGTTCAGGTTAGTGACAATAAAATAAAAAATACTTTGCCACTTGAAGTTAAACTTGTTGAACTAGAAGATATTTGCGAGTCTCCCAATTCAACTAATAAAATTTTGAATTGTTAATTTTGGAGGTTAATTCAGCAAAATGAGCTATTAACAACGATTTTCGTAATTATTTCGCAAAAAACGGTATTTATCAAAAAGTTTAATTGATTAAACTGTTAATTGACTCATTTGCGAAAACTGAATGTCGAAATTTATATTATTACATCAATTTTATAATTATTAATTATATATTATGTATTACATATGTGTTATTCTACCGTTTATGTGTACTTTTTATTCTTAACCATGTATGTAGTGATTTTACACAATGTCTTTTTGTAGGCGATATTGTTTTGTTTGTTCACAAGCGCTAAACATTAAGTCGTCATATTTTTTAAAAATAGTACTAGTTATAACTATTTTCATAACAGATAATTTGTATCTTGCACATAGCTATCGGTATTATGACGACAACGTTAACAACGTTAACAATCTGAAAAATTATGTTGACTGGAGTTATCCTGTTTTCGCTTAGCACGGCAGTATACGTCAGTAGAACCTCATCGTAGTCACAAAAATAAGTTAACAAATTTAGTTACAATGTCAAACTCGTTGTTTTGACAACGAAATCGTGATAAATGTGTGTCAGTTATTGCGAATTGGCTATCGTATAATTTTTCTAAGAGAGGGTAGTCCCTCTTCTAGTTATTTTCTTTCTTTTAATTATCTTATTACCTAATTAACAAAAGGTGACCTCGTTAATAACTGTATAAACTTAGTATCCAACAATAATGATGTTCCTTCTAATTTTATTAATTTATCTATATCTAAACTATCCAATAGGGTCCCACTTACTAAGACAATGTCATATCTCCTAAACATTTTAAATTCAAAATCTACAATATAAAATTTGTAATTCCTATCCATACTATACAAAATCTTAGCAGTGAAGGTATCAAAGGGTCAGTTAAAAGTTACAGGTAGTTTTATAAGATTTGTTTTACTTGTAAAAGTTAAAATTTATTAGCTTATATCAATTTTAGTGTAATTAATATGTTTTATATGAATAATAAAGTATACGTTAATGTATGATAAAATTTATGGTCTTAATGACTAATTCCTAACATATTGAATTAATTATAACACAATTATTGTATTTGTAAAGATAGTTTTATCGTTTAAACAATAAAACCATTTACAGTTTAATAATAAATTTATGTATATTATATTCAAATATTTTCAAGTTAAGAGAAACATGATACCTCTACGATTCCCATTTTAAACGATAAAAAATGCGAATAATAGTTAGATTAATATTTATTTAAATTTGTAAATATATAATTTTCCTTATTTACGTTACTGTTAAAGTGCATTTAAAAAAATGATAAACATTTATCAGAAATTATAGGTTTTGTTATTATTTCATATATTGTTAATTTATTCATATATTATATACACATGTGTGCACTTTTATAGTAGTTATTTAGTATATGAACTTGCATAGAAATATATAATTGATCTAATAACCTTGAAAAATACATTACAAAATGGAACTATATTTTATTTCTCCATAACTTACATACACATACACATGAGTTATGTTCTCATTTTATTATTTGTATTATAATTGCATATTTAAGTGTTTATAAAAATATAATTATTTTTTTACTATACTATACAACAATGAAATATTTCTAGAATATAAAGGTGTGATTCCTATGTACGCGTCAGGAGACGCGCGGCCAACATTACATTATACGTAAATAATTAGGCACGTACACTAGGGTGGAACGAAATATTGAAAATGTTGATAATTGAATTTTAATAGATAAAAAAAAGTTGCAGTTTAGTCTCCTGATTATGGGAGATAAAAAAAAAAAATTTTTTTTTTATATCTTTAGGTGCCGCAAGAAGGTTGAAAATTTGACTGTGAGGGTAATTTTTTCGTTGTTGTCACTTATCTTTTAATCTATTCTATTCACAGGACAAATGATAAAATTAAACTTGTAGAACTAAATGTTTACCATAAAAAATTATATTAGCAAAAAAGCCGTATGTATAATACTTAGTCATTAAAATTAAAAAACAACACATTTTTATCTTTACCTTTGAAATCGTTTTTATTAGTTTATTTAAATATTGCAGACAAAATATTCAGCATACAATAAAAATGTGTCGTATAAAAATTGTTTAGAATTTAATTGTTTATAATTTTTGTTGTGTGTATCATATTTTTTACCAAACGTAGTTGTTATAATCAAGTATTAGTTTGCAAAAAAAGTCTTTTTCCCTCCAACTTATAAAACTGTAAATATTTTTTAAAATATTGGTTCAAATTTTTTTATCGACCGGATATTTTTTTATTTAAATCACCTTTTATAAAAAAAATAGATTTTTAGGAATATTAATAGTAGAGTTGAACGAAAACAAATTTTATTTTGCAAATTCTAATATTACTAGAAAGTTGTGGTCCATAATCAAATATGTGTATAAATAATTATAATCTTAAAATTATTACAAAATTTTACGAAATTTACAGAACACATTACTTAAGAGTTTTAAATGTATTTTTGATTTATTGTAATGTATTAAATTTTTATATAAGTAAAAACATTAACTTAATTAAATTGAAAATATTTTTTGGAATTAAAATGAGGCATTATCCTACGAGACTCAATCCTAGTCCTTATAACACCATCCCTTCTAGCTTGTCCGCATACAGCTGCAGATGCTTCTGTTACTAATTTTACGCTTCTTTCAACAGCTTGTGTATGACAAGGTAAATAAAAAATTTCTAAGGTGTTATAATTTTTGCTGTGAATAGAATAGATTAAAACGTAAGTGATAAAAACGAAAAAATTACCCTCACAGTCAAATTTTCAACCATCTTGCGGCACCCGAAGGTATAAAAAAAAATTTTTTTTTTATCTCCCATAGTAAGGAGACTAAACTGCAACTTTTTCTTATCTATTAGAATTCAATTATCAACATTTTCAATATTTCGTTCCACCCTAACGTACACGCTCTTGTATCAAGTCTTTATTTGTTGATCCTTGTAGTTGGCATTTTTTAGGTCATACAAACATGTATGTGCCCTTACACATTCAGCCAATTGTATGTCTTCTTCTACTGCGTATAACACTTTAGCAGAAGACATCACACGGCGTTTACAAAATGCCAAACTTTGAAAATTATAATATGAATAATAAATTAATAAAATAATTATAATAATATATTAATTACAACTACAATCCACAAGCAGGTAATTTTTGTGGCTGTTTTTTTTTGCTTTTTTCTATATTTTTAGCTTTTGGACGCGTGGCTCGTGCGATTTGACTGCTCTCGAAGCGGTCGTCGTCGCGCGGCTCCAGACGCGGTCATAGGAATCACACCTTAACCAGAATATTTAAAAATATTCACAGAATATACTTTGGCTGCGAATATTATATTTGCACAATATATTAAAGGTATATTTTTAAAATAATATAAAAAAAATATTTTGCAGGATGTTTTATGAATATAAATAAATGATATATTTTTCGATACTAATGTATAATTATTATAAGACATCCACACGTGAAAAAATTTAATGATTAATATAATTAAAGTGATTCACTTATCAACCACTTAATTAATCGAAAATTAAAAATAATATTAATTATTTATTTATTTGTTTCTTTTAGTTTCTCTCAATTTGTCAATCATAAAATGTTTTTTTATGTTCATCCCTTATAACTTATAAGGGTGTCAACTTTAATATCGCAGAGGGCAACACTCTTAATTAAATAGATTTTTCAAGAGATTATGATCTAATTAGGAATCATTGAATTATTATTAGAGACNTTAGGAACCATTGAATTATTATTAGAGACGAGGACTCATTCTCTTGTTCAATGAATATCCCAAATAAAACTATATTATAAAATAAAACAGAGTTGTATTTTATAAGAAAGTGATATTTGTGATTTGAGGTTTTTTGTAAGTAAGAAATTTACCTGTATAATTGGTAATATAAAAATATATTATAATTATAATTAAAAACTTTTTATGGTTTTAAGTTTCACAGGACAATAATAAGATGACAAAAATAAAAAAAATGTAAACTCAATAGGCTTGCAAACAATAGCAATAAGAGTGTTTTTACTGTCCCTGACTTGCTACACTTTTGTTAAGAATTTCCTGTAGTGCCCCAAGCTTGTCGTAAAAGGCGACTAATTTGGGCGGGGAGTCTCAGGCAGACCAGAGTGGCAACCGATAGCCAGCGTGTACCAACTCAAGGCGGGTAGGCAGTTGCTGAGATGAAAGTCGATGACGCATAGCCGAAAACCCCACGGAGGTTTTCCGTACCACGGGCGGGACAGGTGCCCCTGATGATGACCCAGTCATCGTCTGCCGTCCCGACACTAGTTATCAGACCGGTTTACCACTCGGATAACAGTGGAAATTGAATCCCCGTGGTTGCTGTCATTGGAGTGACTTTGTGGTTTATGGCTAAATGCTGGCCTCAAGGAATGCAGCTGAAAGACGGGTCACTTGGCCTGTCCATGGCTCCTACCGGCCTTTACTAGTGGGAAGATACACTGGAGGTTGCGTATACCATAATGGCTTGGATAGTAGCCGTGACCCTACCAGGGTGTCCGAGGTTGGTGCAAACCAGAGGCGAACGATACGGATAACTTAGTTGTCCGGCGCTGGTGTTCCGTTTGAAGAAATGGTGTCCGTGAACCGATTTGTCGCTTCTCGCTCATTGATCCTCTGCGCCCGGCAAATATCACCTGTGCTAACGCTGGTCGCGGTTGTAGGTGAATCTCTTTGGAGAGAATCCCACATAGACAATAAAGATTGT